GCGCCAGCGCCTCGCAGATCGCTCGCTTCTCCAGATCGTAGTTGTCGCGCTTGATGATATCCAAGTCGAGGTGGCGGAGGTGGCGGCCCGCAGCAACGAGCTCTGGAAGCACGTGCAACACATCCGGCAGACGCATCAACAGGCTCAGCGACGCCAAGCGTGGCAATCGCAACACGCCAGACAGCAGGGCTACTGACCGATTGCGAGTCATATGCAGACGGTTGGCAGACAGCGTCTCGAGATGCACGCACGTCGTCGCGAGCGTCTCCATGAGCTCCGTCGACGAAGAGAGGTTGCAATCGCGAAGCTCAAGAGATGTCAGCACCGGGACCGACGACAAGCCCGCGATCAATGCCAGCATGTTATCGCCGTGCAACCTGGAGACGACAAGGGACTGCAGTTGCGATAGCATGGGCGCCGCCGCCGGGCATGTTGCCAACTGGCCAAAGACGCTGCACTCGAGACGCTCGAGCTGCGTGGCCCCGACGGCGGTCGCAAGGGCCGTCAGCGTTGCAATGTCGCCGGCTCTAATGAACGGCATATCCCAAGTCAAGCTCTTCAATGACACGGGAAGCGTACGACCATGGAAGCCACTGAGGCTGCGGACGTTGACGATGGCGAGCTCTTGGAGGGTTGTGCTGGCTTGGAGCGCATCGCAGAACGCAATGGCGCCCTTATGGTCCATCTGGGCGACATGGGCCAATCTGAGCTTCGCTGCTGGCGCCGTCGAGAGCCACGCTGCCAAGCGATGCCCGAGTCGTGGCGCGGTAGTCGCGCGCTGGAGGTTGAGATACCAGATGCGGACATGCGGGTGGGCGACGACAGCGAGCAGATCGTTGAGCTCGGCGGCATTGTTCCCCGAATGAGAAAGGACCGAGATAGCCACTTGGCGCAGACGTGGGCAGCGCTGTAAGAGGAGGTCGCTGATCACTTGGCCTCGGCCTTGGTCCATGCAGCCGCGGTAGAAAGAGAGAATGACGCTGCGGAGCGCAGGTCCGAGAACGGCAACGAGCGAGGCCAGTGACGCTGCGTCCCGGACCGCAAACTGAAGTTCGACACGTGGACGCAGCGGCAGTGTCGCCGCAAGAAGCGCCAAGACCAAAGGCGGCAAGTCCATGCTACGCAGCACGATGCGCGGCCAGTTGGCGATCACCGACGATGGCAGCACGGTGGTGCAGTCGAGAAAGGCCGTGAGCGCCGGCGTCCGTCCCGAGCGTGGTACCGCATGTAGAAAGCTCGTAAAGTCCTCTTGGTTGCTCAAGCACATCGCAATGGCCTCGACGACATGCGGAAGCGCGAGCGCGTCTGGCGGTGTCACACGGGCGGTCTTCTGACTGCGCTCGTTGTCATTCATCTTGGGTTGTGAGCGTCCCTGTCATATCCGGATGCACGATCCGATTGGCGCAAAGTCGGTTTCCAATAGCCAATCTAACGCAAGCAAACGTCGCACGGTCGACGTTTAAAGCTTTAGAGCAACACGCCACGGCCAAGCCACCCAATGCAAGCCACGAAGGCTGGGAACATTAGAGAGACTCAACTCGCAGAGCGTCGGTCTGGCTGATAGCGCATTACAAAAGACAATAGTGGCGTATTGATTGATGTGCGCAATGTGGAAGAGGTGGAGCGACGTCGCCGGCGCTGTCACGAGCCACGAGCCAAGAGCCGCGGGCGAAACGGAGGTCGATGGACAGCGTCTCGACATGGAGGTGGGCGAAAACGGGCAGAAATCACTGAGCTCGACAAACGCTTCGTCTGTCGCGCCGTTGGCGGGACCCATGACGTGGCACAACCGTACGTTCTACAGTGCATTTACCCTTGACGCAGTGCTGCAAACAAGGGAATATTCCCTTGGCTGCAAAGGAGATGTAGCACATCAGCACTTTCAAGTACCAGTAGTGATACCAGACACCTCATGCTCGATATGTACTTTCTAAGCGAATACAACGCAACCATCATTCCACCACCATCATTCTTCCCTCTCACACCATCGAGTATTTTTCAATCCATACTCAATCCGCTCAAATATTATCCAGTCATACTCAGCTTCATGACCAATATTATCAATCCATACTCAACGCATCTGATTGGCCAAAATAGACAAAACTGTCAACTCTTATTGGACAATACTCAAATAATCCAAGGAGGGAACACTATTTGGGGTTGGAGCGACTGTGCTACGGATTGAGTATGGATTGAAAAATACTCCACACCATCACAATCCGCCAACAAAGTGCAATTTCAATGCTACCCCCTGAGCTCGTCCAGCGCGTCGCAGTCTGCATCGAACGTGGCGACGACTTTGTCTCGTTCCTGCATGCCATGTCCAACACGCGACTGACGCTACCATTGTTGGTCCTCCAGACGCTCGCCATGACGCGGTCGCCGGACGACGTGTGGCCCGAGCCGAATCTCGAGGTCCTGCCCTGCCCGCCGCTTGTACCGTACTTGGTCGCGCTTACGTCCCGCGTGCGTTTGGCCGAGTCGCGGCAATTGCAGTCATGGAGGCTGCCATCGCTGCCATGGGTCTCGCACCCGCTCACAACGCTCTCCGTCACGATCGAAGGCGCGTGCTCGGCTGCGCGGATGGCGATTCTGCCGAGTCTTTGCGCGGTGATTGCACAGACGCCGTCGCTTCGCACCCTCGACGTCGTCTTTGCCCGGAGAAGCGATCTCTACCGGCCGTCAGCCACGCAGCTCGTCGATGCGATTGCTGCGTCCTGCATTTTGTCCTTGTCACTGGTCGCGCACGAGTTCTTTAAACTGCCCAGTAACAGCGCGCGTGTCCTCGGCCAGTATTTGCTTCGAGCCCCGATGACGCACGTCCGCTTGGTCAAGATCGCCTTTGTTGCCAACGGCTTGCTCTCGTGGCTAATCCAGCACCTCTTGATGTCACCGAGTCTTGTCCATTTGGCGGTTCTCGACTCGCCCGTCGTCGCGTCGGTTGTGCCACCAGGAAGACTTGGCCGCCATCTCCAACGCATCAGCTTGTCAGCCGTGCCTCTCTCCGATTTGAACGGTCTTACGCAGCGGCTCGCTGATTCCACGCATCTAACGTCCCTGTCGCTGCACGTCGACGCAAGCAGCACCAACGTACCAAATGGCCAGCCCAATGGTGATGCGACCGACTACTTGATCTACAACGTACTGCCCCAGATGCACCGCCTCGTCGAGCTGTCACTGCGTCATTGCGTCGTGTCGCCTTTGGCAGTGCACGCACTTGCCCAGGCTGTCCTGCCTCACCTCGACGTCCTGGAGCTTGATACTAACGGCCTGTACGGTCACGGGTGTTTGGCGTTGGCGTCCTACCTCCCGAACGCACGCCATCTCTTCAAACTCGCGCTTCGCAACCAAGGCTGCACGGACACCTGCGTCGCAGCGCTGGTCACTGCGCTTCAGCGCATGCCTGCTCTTACGGCACTCGACTTGTCGGGCAACGCGATCGGTCCAACTGGCGCTGCAAGGCTTGCGCACATCGCGCCGCAGCTCACGAAATGGACCATGTCGGACAACCCACTGACGCTAGCTGGTGTCGAAGCGCTGCTCTGTGGCTGGTTGCATCCGAGCATTCGCAACTGCACCAAACGTCGGAGCTTGGTCGCGACATGTACTTTGGCATGTGGCCAGCTAGATGCCATACGAGCGAGGTTGCCGCCGCACCGCTCGTGCACGATTGATGCCGCCACTGCATCAGCTGTACCGAGCTATCGGCGCCGGGCTGGGCTAGGTATCGCGGAGCTCAGATGGCTGTACGCGTTGCCAAGCTCGTTGACGCCACCTCCCGGTCTCTTTGACGAGAACGGATAGAGACAAGGACGTCGGTGTGGCTTTGTAGACAAAGGTTTTTTGCTTCGCCATTCTTTTTTCTGTTTGGAAGCATGCATACTAGTAGCTATCCAGAACGGTTCTCACTTGTTTGCTAGTCCATGGTCTTGCTGCTCTGTTCAGTATTGTCTACTACCCAAAGCATACAATCCAGGAATCGCGATGTATCACATACATGCAAGCAACACCGACGACGTGGTGTTTCGTCGATGCTCGAGGATCGTACCGCGCAACCAGGCTGCCACGTGGGGTCCGTAACCGGATCCTCCGACCGTTATCGGATGCGTATCCGGGAATTTTGGATTCGCTACGAGCGGCAGCAAGCAGCACCAGGATGACGACCGAGCTGACCAGCAGTCTAACTGTAGCAATTGAAGCACGCCAACAAGAACGTCTGGAACGCGGCTCACACGCTCCTTGATGACGCGGAGCGTCTGGGGACCCACGCACGTCGTCGCGAGCGCCTCCAAGAACAGCTCTGTCGACGCCAAGTGGGCGCGCTGCTGGAGGTCGAGCGTCGTCA